GGTCTTAAGTTCGAAGTTCGAACCCATCCCAGATAGGAAAGTTAACACATGGTGAATTGCACCATTGAAGTAAAACATAGAAGCTTCATTGAAGGTGAGATGAATGGTGGAAACCGTACAGAGAGAATGAGGTGAGAGCTGAATTGAATACATGAAGAAGCTACAGTAAACCCTTATATAACCACTTTAACCGAAAATTGAAAAGAGAGGGAAAAGACAGCAATGCCCCTGAACTAACTGCTATGCTACTGTATGTTGCTGCTGTGTGTCTAACCATCTTTTTCACTTTTTGGTTTGTTATTTTGTCAATCCCAATCCAAGTTGGCATATTTAGTACTCTATGCATTTCGATCTTTAATTTCGAATTATGTATCTACAATGTTTTTATTCAAAAAAATTATTCATTATCAATAAATTAAATAAGAGAAATAATTTCATTAGTTATATTGTCTTTATTTTTCTCCAATATAAAAATTCTTTACATTCAAATTCATCAATTGATTATATTCGCTACATTGTCCCTACAATGTCTTTATTAAAAAAAAAATTATTCATTATCAATAAATTAATTAAGAGAAATAATTTTATTATATTATATTATCTTTATTTTTCTCTAATGTAAAAATTCTTTACATTCAAATTCATCAATTGATTATATTCACTACATTGTCTATTACTCCGTATCTTTTTTGTGCACTATTTTTTTTTAATTAAATATCAAAGTTATAATACAAAATAATGTTATATATTTATTTACCAAGTATTTTATTAATACCATGAAAAAATTAAGAAAAATATAATTAATAAAGCCAATCATATTAACTACTTGAGGAATTTGTTGACAAAGAGAGTATTCAAATCACACAACAAATTGAAGTGAGAACTATCTCGTAATGTCCTTGTTTGACAATCAGTAATTAGCGGTTAGCGTTAGCGGATTATATTAGCTGATTTGACTAGCGAATTATATCAACGGTTGGTAAAAAGATATTTGAAAAAATTAACTTTTTAGATTAACATGTAAAATGACCTAAGGGTACACATATATTTAATAATAATAATAATAATAATAATAATAATAATAATAATAATAATTTTAAAAAAATAAATAAATAAATATAATTAAGCCAATCATATTAACTACTTGGGGGATTTATTTACAAAAAGAGTATTCAAATTACACAACAAAATTGAAGTGGAAAACTACCTCGCAATGTCCTTGTTTGACAATCAACAATTAGCTCTTCAATATTAGTATATATTTAAAATTTTATGCCCTAATTTTTATTTGCTCTCCCTTATGTCTCGTATTTGGTTTCAACCATACCTATACAATTATTTTATTGACAATTATAATCAATCTTGACTATATTGTCTTGAATTTGTAAACTTAGAATTACCTATTTAAATACGCAAATTCAACATTCAATTATTTATGCATGAACAATTCTAATATAATTCTGCCTTGATATACTTTAAAGTACTTATTAAAAAAAATCATTGGGGATTATCTCAATCGCGCAATACGCGTAAAAAACTAGTATTGGAATAAGGGTCAAATAGAATAATGCAATTAGGTCACTGAACTTAAAAAAATAAAATAAAAAAAAATAAAAAAAAAATAAAAAATTACAATTGGATCCATAAACTAACCGATTTCAGGCAATTAGTACAATTTATAGTTTGATACCCTATTTGATCCTTATTCCAAAATTATTTGTGCTCCTATATATATCACTATCACGGGTGATACCTTATTTGGTTATTTTTATATTATGGCAGACATCTTTAGACATCATATTTGTGAAGATGGTGAATTCATTCAGACCATACGAAATGATACAAAGGGGATTTTAAGTTTGTATGAAGCCTCGTTTCTCACCTTCGAGGGAGAAAGCATTCTTCAAATGGCCAAGCCCTTTCTCATAAAATGCCTCAAGAATCTCATGGCAAATGAAGATTATTCCACCCTTTCTGAAGAGGTAAAAATGTAATTAGTAAAAAAAAAAAATTATAACACCCTTTGCAGTTTGCATGATGACGAGGTTAAACCAATATGCACGGGATAAATCATGCCTTGTGACTCTAGTCAACAAATTAAACGACCACAAAAAGATAAAGTAGCTAGCGTAGGTTACCCATAGTCAATATCTCAAACCATGAAGGTCAATAAATTATTCTCAGCGAGAGTCAAACTTACAACATTAAGCCAAAAATTACCAGGATAAAACAAACTTAAAAGCATGAATAAGCTTGATCCATTTGATTATTATGTTTTCAAATTTTTATATTTATCATATTTGCTTTTATTTTTATATAATAACATCATATCTTAAGGGGAAAAAAAAAAATAGCCAAATAACAAATGCAACTCTTTAACAGGTAAATCATGCCCTTGAACTACCACAGCATTATAGACCTCCAAGATTGGAAGCCAGGTGGTACATTGAGGCATGTAGAAAAACAAGGGGTTATAATAATGAAATTTTACTTGAGCTGGCTACGTTAGATTTCAACATGGTACAATCTTTATATCAAAGGGAACTCTAAGAAGTGTCATCAAGGTACAAAATAGTTTTGTCAATCAATCAAATGTATATATACTGTGTAGAGTTAATTACCAAAATGGTCCCTTGACTATAGCGAAATTACCAATTTGGTCCTTGACTATTTTTTTTAACCAATTAAGTCCCTCAACTTTAAAATTTTTAACCAATTTGATCCTCCGTTCGTTTGACCATTAGTCAACCGTTAACTTGAGACCAAATTGGTAATTTTGCTATAGTCAAGGGACCATTTTGGTAATTAACTTTAGGGTGGGCAATTCGGTTTAGTTTTCTCGAATCAAACCGTACCAAATTAGTTAGATTCAGTAATATACCGAACAACCAAACGGTAATAGATTCTTGTACATCGAACGGCTCGGTAAAAACTCGAACCGAACTGAATTGTTCGGTAAAAACTGAATCGAACCAAATATCGTTTGAACTTTGGATTGCTATTTTGTTATATATTAGACTTTGGATATGGACTATGTAAACATCATAACACATAATATAGAACTTTTGATAACAAACCATAAAAAAATGAAATAAAACATTTACGAGAGATACCCGTGAGAATATGAGCTGAACGGCAGAGCAAGCAACAAGTGACTTGGATTTTTTTTAATTAATTAATTATTTATTTATTTATTATTATTATTATATTTAAAAAAAAAAATCAAACAGTATTTGATTCTGTTCAATTTTTAACCGAACAATTCGGATATGATCGGATGGGGTTTTTTATCGAACCGTTCGGTATACAAGAATCCAATATCGTTCGGTTGTTCGGTATATTACTTTGGTTCGGTTCAGTACGGTTCAGTTCAAGAAAACTGAACCGAATTGCTCACCCTAAAGTTAATTACCAAAATGATCCCTTAACTATAGCAAAATTACCAATTTGGTCCCAAGTTAACAGTTGACTAACGGTCAAACTAACGGAGGACCAAATTGGTTAAAATTTTTAAAGTTAAGGAACTTAATTGGTTAAAAAAATAGTCAAGGACCAAATTGGTAATTTCGCTATAGTCGAGTGACCATTTTGGTAATTAACTCTACTATGTACTATATGTTTCTAGGGCATCCACAATAGTAGCTTTTCACAGTTTTTGAAGAAGAAAAAAGTCAAAAACCAATGCTATATAGTTTTGAGACTAAAGGGGAGGTTGGTTTTTAGGTGGTTTTTTATACTGCAAATTTGAGCTTCTTTTTTTCTAGGGCCCAACTGAAAAGAGAAAAAGAGAAAAGGAAGATGTGATCCACGTGTGTGGCGCAATATTCGCGCCCAACGCGCCTAAATATATGCTTTTTATTTTTATTTTTAAATTCTTGTCAGATTCCTCTTTTTTTTTTTTTTTTTTTTTTTCATTTTTCATTTTCTTCTCTTTTTTCCTCCATCCCCTCTCTTTTAGTTGGCATCTCAAAACATATAATGTTAAAGTGACGATATTTAAATATAATAATTAAAATAGATCAAACTAACAACATTAATCTAACTCATTTAGAGTTTTTAACCCTTGGTGGAATTTACCTTTTGTTCATAGAAGTGATGTCAAAGGCATCAACTCATGTTTAGTGTGTTATGATTTGGAAAAGTTTGAGTCAACTAAGAATATGGTTCTTCAAAAATGAGAAAGTTAATCCAAAGAGTTTTTTTTTCCAAAATGGTCCCTCGACTATAGCTCATTCTTAATTTTGCATTGCGACATTCAATTTCACTTAATGTGGCCCCTTGACTTTTTAAAATTCACCCAAAATGGTCCTCCGTTAGGTTTGCGTCAATTCCACGTTAAATGTGAGGATATTTCAGTCGTTTCACATCCAAATAACAATTTCAAAGAAAAATTTCAGTCAACCAACGTGATCTCTATCCTTCCGGATATTTCCTCCGAGTTGGTTTTGAGCAACGTTGTGTCAGCGGCAGCACCACAAAAGCGGAGGTCGATGGTGGTCGGTAGAACTCAACATCGCTGTCGTGGGAGTTGAAGTAAGAGAGAGGGAGAGCAACGCCACGGTCGCCGGAACTGGTGTTTCTGGCCTTCCTTCTCTCATAAATCTGTTGTTTTTAGTGCGGCTCTCGAGAAGGTCCAAACGAGTTAGAAATAATTCCCTATGTTCGACGAGGTCTAAGTTGCCGGGGCCGATGTTCGACGCGCTTGTGCATTACGCCACGGTTAATAACACGATGGTGGCTTCTCTCGGCCGCGAAAGTGAGCACCGTGGCCGCGACGCTCCGCCCAGCTAACGCCCTTCCAGGCGTCTCAGCTACGGAGCTTCCCGGCGTGATCTCTGTCCTTCTGGATAAAGTCTGGCAGCTCCACACCACTCACACGCCTTAGTTTGATGTTCATCTTTCTTCCCCAATCTGCTGACTTCTTTGTCTCTCTCGTCGACCAAGCGCCCTCCTCTCTTCGTATCTCCCTTCCTCTCACACTCTCCTCTCTGAACCTTCCGATGACGGTGTCGGACGGTGATTTCAAGAGCTCCGGCAAAGACGTGCAGCAAAGAAGCGATGGCAGTGTGCAGAAGCAGCCTGTTCTTTATTCCCTTTCTCTCGGTCAACAACAGTTCTCCCGACGAGTAGCAGATCGACAGCAGCCACGGTGAAGCAAGGAAGTAGCTTCTTGCAGCGTGACAGCTTCGCAGCATCCCCTGCTTTCCAACGAGTTGCTCTTCCCTTCCGGCAGAACAGAGCACTCCGGTGAAGTAGCGGGTGGACCTCTCTCTCCGACGTGGTAAATTTCATGTTCAAACTCGCAAAAATAGAGTCTGAACAGAGTACGTCGGCGTATGTGAAGTGTAGGTGATGTGGACATCCAAACAACAGTTGTAATAGGTGCAAGGAGGTGAATAGACGAAAATACCCCCAATCTTAATGGCTAGTTGACGCAAAACCTAATGGAGGACCAATTTTGGGTAGTTTTTAAAAGTCAAGGGATCACATTAGGTGCAATTGAAAGTCGAAATGCGAAATTGAAAATGAGTGATAGTCAAGGGACCATTTTTGAAAAAAAAACTCTAATCCAAATTACGGATGACTATATAACCCAAGTATTATTATTATTGTTGTTGTTGTTGTTGTTGTTGTTGTTGTTGTTATTATTCTCATTCCTTGTATGTACTGTAAACTCATGAACCAAACACACTCGTTATGTTTTCATGGTAACACTAAACAAGAATTTAATCGATGAGAGAAATACCAAACAACATTTTAAGCTTATTCATGGCAACATTGCATTAATTCTTATTTAGGTGGTGGAACGAAATAAGGTTAGCAAGCAAATTAAGCTTTATCAGAGATAGATTGGTGGAATGCTATTTTTTTGCGGCTGGAATTACACCCCAACCTCAACTCACCAAAGCTCGCATAGGTCTAACAAAAGTGTCTATACTAGTATCAATAATTGATGATATTTACGATGTTTATGGATCTCCAGATGAGCTCCACTTATTTACAAACGTGGTTAAAAGGTAATATTATTAATCTTTATTTATTTTAATCTTTTTCACAATCTCATTGATTGAGATAATTTTTTATTTTTACTTTTGAATACTACTGACTCTTAATAAATCATTTCATTTCAGGTGGGATCTTAATGGGGTTAAACAACTTCAAAATTATATGAAACTATGTTTTCTTGCTCTCTACAACACTATAAATGAGTTGGGATATTATAACATTAAAGAACAAGGAGTAAATCCAATATCTCTACTTGCAGAAAAGGTAAACCTAATCAATTCAAATTGGTTAAAATTCAATTCCGTTGAGATATGATATTAATTTGTTGTGTATGTCTCATATAGTATTGGAAAATGACATATGTATGTTGGGCATAGTAGAACGTAGTGATTGATCTCTTCTTCATTTTTCAATTTCAGTTCTTATATCTTGATTCCCTTTTTTTCAACACCATCAAAGAATGGACACTTATTATTGTCAAGGTCGATTTTCTATTTTAGTGGGCAGATATGTGTGAAGCATTCTTGGTGGAAGCAACTTGGAATTACAAAAAGGTTACACCACCTCTCAAGGTTTATCTTGAGAATGCATGGGTTTCTATCTCGGGTGTTGTCATCCTTTCACATGCCTACTTCTTGGTCACTCAAAATATCACCAATGGTGAACTTGGTGGCTTGCAAAATAACCATGATCTTCTAAGATGGTCATCCATGATTTTTCGCTTATGCAATGATTTGGGAACTTCTAAGGTTAATACTTATCTCAATTCAATTGTCATGTTTGCATTTCATGGTTTAGTCTATTCTAACATTTTAGTGCAATTCATATTTTATTTTATAGAATAGAATTCCATATTGGGGTTGAATATATTAGGCCCGGATAGAACAAGGGATATACGGTCTGGCTTGATTATTTAGGCATGCATAGCATGTTTAGTAAAATGGTTACGCCTAATCTTATTCTAAGATTTATTTGACTAAATAGACCCATGTCTATATGTTTAGTGGTGCATTCTTGTGTTGCGTGTGGTGCATGGTAAGACTCTTTGTGTAATTGTGCCTCAGTCGGTTGAAAAAGTAGTTATGAACAGATTCTACATTGTAACAAAGTTAATAGTACAGGTCAGGCATATTGTAATCTCAAGCTTGGACCTTAGGTTCACATAATAGTCTCAAACCTAGTTCCCTAAGCTCGGGCTCAACCCGACCTACTTTTCAACCCTAATTCCATAGAATTATCTATAACAATTTCCAACACCCTCATGGTATTAGTTATATATTAATCATTGCTCAATAGTAACTACTCTAATTATTCATAGTATCAAAATTAACATTATGTCTCTATGTTAGTGAAATGACAACTTATTAACGTAGTTATTCGTAAATGTTTGTAAACAGACTGAGTTGATGAGGGGTGAAACTGCGAATTCAATATTATGTCGAATGCAGGAAAGTGGACATTCAGAGAACAATTCTCGTAATTATGTAAAAGGTTTGCTCGATGAAGCATGGAGGAATCTGTTAAATGAAAAGGATTTAGCAGGAAAAAATTCAGAGTTTGAGAGACTATTTATTGAAGCAACGATTAACCTGGCTCGCATTTCTCAATTCTCTTATTGGTATGGAGATGTACATGGAGTTCCAGATAACAGATCTAAAAATCTAGTCTTGTCCTTCATTATTGAACCGTTAGCCTTTGAGTAAGCAAGAATGAAGACATTTCTAGCTTTCGTCGAGAGATGGTGTATGTCCACATGTTATATATAAGGTTCCATATCCATTAAAAATAGGGGCTCTCTCTAATAGTTGAATTTGGAACTTTATTGTTTTTGTTTGGGGATGCAATCAAAATATAATGGAGTAACTGCAAAGACAAAGACAATAATAGAGAGACAAAATCATAGGGAGAGAAATTTTTTTTAATATTTTAAATTTTACTATAATGATAGAGATTTCTATTTATAATGGTAAAAAACATAAGACATCAAAAGATGAAGCCTAGAAGATCTATAAAATCTTTATAACTGAGGTAATTGAGATCAAATCCATTTGGACTTCAAGCTATTGTATTTTATAACAAAAACAAAAATGTAGTTAAATTTTTTTTATCCCAATATAATGCATAAAAATTAAACAAAGAAAGAATACAATTCAAAAGGTAATTTAAAAGTGCCATTTTTTGTTCATATATTTTTTTATTATTATTATAAGGAAGGGGGATACCTTATTTTTCGTTCATATTTAAAAATAAAATTGCTCACCAAAATTTCAATGTCAATTCCTTCAAAAAAAATTATTTTCAATTACAATTAAGAACAATCTATAAATTAAAAAAAAATTATCAAGTATATAAAACAATAAATTATATCTAAAATATTTTTAAAAAAATTGGGTGCCCTAAAAAATGAGGGCCCTGAGCGGTTGTCCTGGCCAGACATGGCCAGGACCTACCCTGTCAATATAGTTATATCATGGAACAAGTGCATGTAAGATGTAGCATTAGTGCATCTGACATTGTTGATGGAACAAGGAGGGTAAATGTAGTATCCAAATGCTTCAGATTGTTTGCATCCCCTACTACTAGGAATCCAACAAAATGAGTATTTAAGAGAAGCTTGAACTTGGGGGTACACCGCCACCAAATCCTACAACATCGCGACCAAATCAAGGTCTTCCTCCTGTACCCCTGAAGATAGGCCAGTAATCAACAGGAGCTCCACCCTTCTCACCTCCAAATTCATTGGGTGGGCCTCGTGGACCTTAATACAAGATTATATAGGAGATGCTCATGCATAGGTAATTGAAAGTTGAATTTTTTTTTATTTAAATCAATAATTCAAAGTATATGAATGCAAGATAATATAGGTGAGATTGATTATAATTGTCACTAAAATAAATGTTTGAACTTTGCAATAACGTTAATCTAAATACTTAGTTTAAAAACGATAGTCTAAAGAAATACTACTTTTTGTTTATATTTCTCTAAGTCTTCTTAATTCTCTTTTGGGTGTCATTGTCTTCATCTTCAGTATTTGTGTCCTCTTCTTTTTTTATTGGTAGTGTTTCATGTGCAATTGGTTACTAGTGGTAGCATGGAGTGCACGCCATGTAATGAGATTATGGTGTAGGAAGTTGTAGATTTTCCTTGTTGTGTATATAACTTGAATCTTAGATATACTATAAACTCTTTATCCTGCAATCGTATGTTGATATTTGAGAGTAGCTGTTTTTTCCCATACATGTTTCATGTGCGTTGAGATGTGTGTCTTAGATTTCATGTGAAAGTATTTATCGAACAAAATATTAATATTTATTATATTTGTAGAAGGTTCATGAGTAATACCTCTTGTTCTCGTTCCATAACTTGTTACTTGATAGTAACAACAATGACTCTGCTGGTAGTTCGAATACTAAGTGTTTTTGTTGTTAATGTTGATATTGATTTTGCCTTTAATCCATACAAGTTGAGTCTAGAAAAAAATGAATTCTAAATTTATATTAAGTTCTAATATATTTAAAGGATGCACAATAAGTATCTTACATACAAGATCAATGAATGCTGCAACGGTGACTATTTTTTAAATATCTTCATTTTCTGGATTTGTCTCACTAGTACAAAAAACATCAAAAAAAATCAAAGAATATGCATCCAAAGTTTAAACTTTGGACGCGTAATGTGAGAGGCGGTGGCGTTTTTGTAATTAAAATGTCACTATATATAATTAATTTTTTTATTTATTTTAAAATATAAAACAATGTACATCCAAAGTTTAGGAACCTTGGACGCATATTGTTGTAGTTTCTACATCTTTTCGATGCATTAAGTGCGTCACGATGTTTTATTGCTGTACATTGACATTTTTAATAATGGGTTCTAAATATAGCTACGTAAGTCGTAAGATAATGATCTAATTACCATTTACATATTATTATCAGCATAAAAGCATAATTTTTTTTTAATAAAGGCATTATAGACATCTAATTCTAAATTAAAGAAATGCATATGCATTATTTTGGATTGTAGCTACTAATTTATTTAATTTAGAGTTAATCAACGATTTGGTCCCTGAAAATAATTATTTTTAGTCGATTTAGTCCCTCCGGCCGTCGATTTGGTTCTTGAAAACAATTATTTTTAGTCGATTTAGTCCCTCCGGCCATCGACGGAAGACAACCTGAGGGACTAAATCGACTAAAAATAATTGTTTTCGGGGACCAAATCGATGAATAAGCAATTGAGGGGCTACATTGACAGTTCGCAAATAATTGAGGGACCAAATTGTTCATTACCTCTTTAATTTAATAAGAGTAATAGAGTGTGGTACTTACTTTTCATCCACAACAATGAATTCATTGATTTTTTTATTTCCATTCGTTGTTGAGACAAATTATTTTGAAAATTTGTCAATAACAATTGCTACAATTGCTATCAAGATTATAATAAATAATTCGAAATATATTATTACAATAGATATTATTATAATGATATACTAAAATTAACTTAAAAATTTCTTTACAAGTTTCCATTATTGATAAAATTTTGAGAATGATGTGTAACGTATTCAATTAGAACCAGTGAAATTTCAACATTGTCCATTCTTTGGACAATGGTCCTACCGTTTAGCGTCTATGTGTAGTTTTATTTCTTATCAACAACTTTATAATTAGATCGTGCATGTCTGACAATGATGTAACAACAATTATTTTGTCAAATAAAAAATAATAGCACAATATTTGTAAAGTAATGTATAACTGTAACATTATAGAAATACAGATAAAATATATTAATACTATAATGACCTAAATTATTTCCAATAATGAAAAAGCATAATTGAAATTTTGAGTCTTATTCTAAATAATCAAAAGAAGATTAATTAAACGAAAAAAAATTTTAAAAAAAAAAAAAAACTTAACCTAAATTTATTTTTAATTAAAATGCATAAAATGATTTTCAAGATTCCTTATTTATAATACTTGATGCTCAACTTTGAATGCTATGTATTTAGTTGAGCTAATTATTAAACCAAAGTTTATGTTAATTTTTATATTTTTAATACATTCTTACATATTCGTAGTATATGTTTAACAAATATGTCAACTCTGGTTGGTATGGGGTTCAGACCTAATAGACATTTCCTATAGAAATTAATGAGTAAATTAAGAATAATAAATAGTTAACAAAATATTCCGTTACTGGAGTTTATACTAATGGAATGTAGGGTTATTTGAGGAAAGAAAATAATATAATAGAGGGTAAAAAAGAAAAATCATTAAAAAAAATACTAAAATCAAATTAATCTGAACCATTCATTCATTTTTTTTTAAGGAATAAAAGCTTCATTAAAACAAATGTTGAATACAATTAAGGAAATGAAAGCAAACAAGTAAGAGAACCAGTTTGAGAACGAGTCGCTCGGGTTAATGCATGAGCAAACTTATTCACCGATCTTGACACAAATTGAAAGGACACTGCTTCAAAGTGTCTTTGATAATCTCGGCACTCCTAAATCACACATCCTGTATACGAAAGGTCTGGAGAGTTACCATATATTTAAGAGCCGACAAACTGTTTGGAAATCTGAAAAAATAGCCACCTTAGTGAATCCCCGATCTTTAACCCAAGATAGAGCTTCCTTTACAGCCAGGGCTTCAGCTAGGTGAGGGTCATTTAAACATCGTAGATGCTCATTTTTCGCAGCAACATAATCACCATTCTCATTCTGCACAAAAATACCATTCAGATTCATAATCACCATTCTCATTCTGCACAAAAATACCATTCATTAATCTGAATCATTCATTTCCAATGAGATTATCTATAACCATTTCCAACAACCAACACCCTCATGGTATTAGTTATATATTAATGATTGCTCAATAGTAACTACTAATAATTATTCATAGAGTTTATTACCGAAATGGTCCCTCGACTATTGCGAAATTACCAATTTGGTCCCTGACAATTTTTCTTACCCAATTAAGTCCTCTGACTTTGAAAATGTTAACCATTTTGGTCCTTTGTTAAAATTCCATCCATAAACTGTTAAATTAAAGGACAAAAAAGTAATTTCATATATTTTATTTATTAAAGCTTTTCTTCTTCCTGTTTATCCGCTCCTTTACTATTCTGGGAATCCACAGCAATGGTCATAGCACAGATGCGACACACTTCCCTTGACTCAAACCTCCAACACCCGCACAGGCAGATAGAACATTCACAAGGGTAAAATCATCAGGCTTCATATCTGATCTCTGCATATCCTTGAAAAGCAATATCACTTCACTAAAGCATACCCACTTAAAATCACATTCCAAGACACAACATTTTTCACCACCATCTTATCAAAAACACTCCTTGCTTCGTCAATCAACCCACATTTCACATACCCAGAAAGCATAAAATTCCAAGACTCAACTTATTGCTGCTCCCTCCTCGTCGCGTCCTGCTGCTCGGAAGGAGAACCAGGTGCCATGGCTGATGATGGGAACGGAACCAGTTGGAGACGAGGGCAAACAGACGCGACCTCCCTCCTCTGTTTCCGGCGAAGCAGCGGCAGTGCGGTGGTGACTACTTTCTCGGCGAGCAGAGCAAGCGGTGGGGGATGGTGACTCTCCCTCTTGTTCGACAACACAGTTTCTCCCAGCGAAGAAAGGCAGCGAGCAGCAGGGACGACCTTTGTTTCGGCGTAAGCAATTCCCTGGCAGTGCGTGGTGGTCGGCAGTGACGTCTTAGCTCCGGCAAGGCTTGGAGGATTAGGTGAGATTATGTTGTTGTTGATGATTAAGTTTGATGTTGTTTATTGGTGATGTTTGGGTGTGATTAATGGTGATTATGAGTTAATAAGATATGGTGATGCTATACAGATGATTATGGATTGATGATGATTTAATGATATGATAATGAAGCTATGACCATTGCTTGCGGATTCCCAAAAGAATAAAAGGAGAAGAAAAGTTTTAATAAATAAAATTTATGAAATTACTTTTTTGTCCTTAAATTTAACAGCTTATGGATGAAATTTTAACAGAGGACCAAAATGGTTAACATTTTTAAAGTCAGAGGACTTAATTAGGTAAGAAAAATTATCGAGGACCAAATTGGTAATTTCACAATAGTCGGAGGACCATTTCGGTAATAAACTCTTATTCATAGTATCAAAATTAACATTATGTCTCTATGTTAGTGAAATGACAACTTATTAACGTAGTTATTCGTAAATGTTTGTAAACAGGCTGAGTTGGTGAGGGGTGAAACTGCGAATTCAATATTATGTCGAATGCAGGAAAGTGGACATTCAGAGAACAATTCTCATAATTTTGTACAAGGTTTACTCGATGAAGTATGGAGGAATCTGTTAAATGTAAAGGGTTTAGCAGAAAAAAAATTTAAGATTTGAGAGACTATTTATTGAAGCAACGATTGACCTGGCTCGCATTTCTCAATTCTCTTATCAGTATGGAGATGGACATGGAGTTCCAGATAACAGATCTAAAAATCTAGTCTTGTCCTTCATTATTGAACCGTTAGCCTTTGAGTAAGCAAGAATGAAGACATTTCTAGCTTTCGTCGAGAGATGGTGTATGTCTACATGTTGTATATAAGGTTCCATATCCATTAAAAACAGGGCTCTTTCTAATAGTTGAATTTGGAACTTTATTGTTTTTGTTTGGAGATGCAATCAAAATATAATGGAGTAACTGCAAAGACAAAGACAATAATAGAGAGACAAAAACATAGGGAGGGAGATTTTTTTTAATATTTTAAATTTCACTATAATGATAGAGATTTCTATTTATAAAGGTAAAAAACATAAGACATCAAAAGATGAAGATAGAAGATCTATAAAATCTATATAACAGAGGTAATTGAGATCAAATCCATTTGGACTTAAGTTATTGTATTTTATAACAAAAATAAAAATGTAATTAAATTTTTTTGTCCCAATATAATGCATAAGAATTAAACAAAGAATGAATACAATTCAAAAGTTAATTTAAAAGTGTCATTTTTCGCTCATATTTAAATACAAAATTATTCACCAAAATTTCAATGTCAATTCCTTCTAAAATTTTATTTTCAATTACAATTAAGAACAATCTATGAATTCAAAAAAAAAAAAAAAATTATTACCCAGTATAAAAAATAATATATTATATCTAAAATATTTTTTAAAAAATTGGGTGCCCCAAAAATTGGGGGCCCTGTGCAGTTGCTCTAGCCAAACATTGCCAGGACCTACCCTGTCAATAGTTGGGTTTTTGACTGAAATAGGAATGGGACTAGGGTGATTGACAAGAATGGGAATGAAAATTTTTTTAGACAAAAAGGAGAAAACCGAGTTTGGGAAACGCGGTTGGGTTGAAAACTGCATTTCCCAAACTCGGTTTTATTTAATGCCAAAGTCAACTACAGCTGCATTTGGAAAATGCGGCTGTAGTATAATATACCACAACCGCATTTCCCAAATGCGGTTGTAGTATAAAGCAAATCCGCATTTGGGAAATGCGTTTCTCGTATTATACGCGAAACGCATTTCCCAAATACGGATTTGCTACTGACGGATCGCGTCAATCGGTATATGACTGACGTGACCGGTCACTGATTGATGTGACCGGTCACTTTAGAAAGAGTTTTTTCTAGTATGATATTTATTTTTCTTTTGATCACTTTAAAAAAAGATCAGAGACTGAACAAAAATAGTGGATCTTGCATTAAAAATAAATATGACCGACGTGACCGGCACATCAAGCAGTGACCGGTCACATCAAGCAGGCTATACATATACAGGGGGCTATACAATGCTCTAGTTCATAATAGTACATGGACATTGGTCCGGGCTGAACCACACATGAATGTTGTCGGTTGTAAGTGGGTGTTCAGAACCAAGCGGACTGCAGACGGCTCGGTAGAGCGTTACAAAGCCCGATTAGTTGTCAAAGGGTTCAATCAGGTGGCCGGTGAAGATTTTTTCGACACTTTCAGTCAGGTAGTCAAACCGACTACATTTCCTCTCTTGCTCTCTCTGGCCGTGACGAAACACTGGACTCTACGCCAGCTAGACGTCCACAATGCGTTCCTTAACGGGCATCTAGCAGAGACTGTTTATATGAAACAACCACCAGGATATGAAGATCCCGCTCATCCTGATCATGTGTGTCACCTGCAACGGTCATTATACGGGCTTAAACAGGCACCACGGGCCTGGTTTAAACGATTACATGATTTATTATTGACTGCAGGTTTCTTGGCATCCAATACTGATGTCTCCCTCTTCCATTACTCCGCTGGCACTTCACGTGTATACTTATTAGTATACGTCGACGATATCATTATGATGGGAGATGATCCGGCTCTAGTCTCTACTTTACTTGACCGACTGGCTGCAACCTTCAAGATACGTGATCTCGGTAACCCCACCTTTTTTCTTGTGATTGAGACCCTCAAGACTGATACAGGGATCATGTTGACCCAACGGCGTTACATGAAGGACATCCTAACTCGCGCCGGCATGACTGATTGCAAGCCGTTGACCACCCCAGCTGCTGTCAGTCAACCTGTGTCACCGTCTGAAGAACTCTTTGATAACCCCACGCAATACAGGCGCATTGTTGGAGCGCTACAGTACCTGACTATTACACGGCCGGACCTATCTTATGCGGTTAATCGACTGTGCCAGTTCATGCACTCTCCCACGGTGGATCACTGGGCTCTATTAAAGCAGGTAGTGCGATACATTAAGGGCACACTGGACTACGGGTTACGAATCAGTGTCTCCGCGTCTTCTGCTATACATGCTTTTTCAGACTCAGATCGGGCCGGTTGCCCACAAGACCGGAAAAGTACGAGTGGCTATGCTGTTTTCATCGGTACAAATCTTATTTCATGGTTATCCAGGAAGCAGCGGACAGTGGCACGATCCTCTACAGAGGCTGAATACAAGGCTCTCGCTGATGTCTCCGCCGAGGTCACATGGGTTGTCTCTCTTCTACGGGAACTTGGTCTGCACTCTAGTGAACCGTCTACTCTCTGGTGTGACAACCTGGGTGCTACTTATTTGTGTGCCAATCTTGTTTTTCATGCAAGGACTAAACACTTCGAGATCGATTTCCACTTTGTTCGGGATAAGGTTGCTTCCGGGGATCTAGTGGTCAATTTTGTGTCTACGAAGGACCAGCTGGCAGATATCTTCACCAAACCACTTCCCGGCCCGCGGTTCGCTCTTCTACGTGACAAGCTCAATGTGGTTGTTCATCCACCTTGTGCTTGAGGGGGTGTGTTAACCATATTATAAGTTATTATTATTATTGTATTTGACTAGTCTTGTAATAAGATTATTTAGTTATAGTCTTCCTGTTAGATAGGATAGTATTACGTTAGTTGTTATCTGCTTTATATTGTAACTCCTATCCTATTGGATGAATTAATCAGAAACTGTTATCTCATCATTATAACTAAAGTAAAAACAAATAAACCACTAACTAAAGCTGATGAATGTGCAATATTTTGTTGTGTATTGATCAAAGAGTTACAAGGCTATACATATACAGGGAGCAGAGCTTGAAGATAGGAAACAAACCATAAGACTCTAACTGTACCCTATGGACTCTAACTAGCTAATACACCCCCTCAAGCTGACGAGGGACAAGGAACCACGCCCAGCTTGACCCGAAGATCACGGAATCGAGTAAACGGCAGGGCCTTGGTAAAGACATCCGCTAGTTGATCACGCGTTGAGACGAAATTTACTTTCAGAGCGTCAGCGGATACCTTTTCAAGCACGAAATGGTAGTCCACTTCAACATGCTTGGTTCATGCATGGAAGGCCGGATTGTAGCACAAGTAGGTTGCTCCAAGATTGTCACACCAAAGAACTGGGATTGTTGGAGGGTGTAATCCGAGTTCTCGAAGAAGAGACTGCGCCCAAGTGACTTCAGTAGCAACTTCAGCAAGTACTTTGTATTCGGCCTCTGTGGAAGATCGAGCAACAGTTCGTTGCTTAAAGGAGACCCAAGATATGAGATTGGGTCCGAGAAAAACTGCATACCCAGTCGTGGACTTCCTGTCAACCGAGCATCCGGCCTAGTCTGAATCGAAAAACGCATGGATGATCTGTGAAGACGACGGAGTAGCCGGAGGCCAGAGCCCCAAGTGCAGCGTACCTTTCACGTACCGCAACACTCGTTTGAGAGCGGCCCAATGGTCCTGCGTGGGACTGTGCATGAACTGGCAAAAATTGTTGACTGCAAATGAAAGATCGGGACAAGTAATCATAAAGTACATTAGAGAGCCGATAATTTGGCGGAATAGCGTCAAGTCGTCTAGTGTGACTGCAGCAGTAGTGTCGCTTGACGTAGTTAGGGACATCGGGGTGGCCAATGGTTTGCAAGATTCCATCCCTGCTTTGCGAAGGAGTTCTATCATGTAGCGCTGTTGAGACAGAACTACCCAGTCGCCATCATAAACAGCTTCAATCCCTAAGAAAAAACGCGGCCTGCCCAAGTCACGAATTTTAAAAGTAGTGGATAGTTGTGCTAGTACATCAGTGACCATAGTCGAATCATTTCCAAACAATAATATGTCGTCCACATAAACTAAAATATAGGCACGGATTTGTCCCTTATTAAAAATGAATAACGAGATGTCCATTTTTTATGCATGAAACCCAATTTGCAGCAAAAAATCGTGTAGCCGTGTGAACCACGCCCTAGGGGCTTGCTTTAAGCCGTACAATGACCGTTATAACTTACAGACGTGTTTGAGGTGGTTTGGGTCGGCATATCCCGGAGGTTGCCGCATGTATATATCTTCGGTAAGGTGGCCATTTAAAAATGCGTTGTGCATGTCCAACTGTCGCATTACCCATGTGACACCCCGAAAATTATTCTAATTCCTGAATTAACTCCTATAATTATTTTTCTGAGGGAATTATTCTTTCATTAAAGCCCAATTTCCTAGTCTTATAAATATATATATATATATATATATATATATATATATATATATATATATATATATCTTTCTAAGACTTAGTATTTTGGACCTAATCTAGTATTATTTATATCTTATAGTCCTTTTAATTCCAAAAGCCCACAATAATTCTGTTATATCTATAAAGTCAATATATATGCTATTCATAAAGATGAAGCCCAATTTAATTCTCTTATTCCTTTAAAACTATCTACACTTATGGCCCAAATATACATCTTATAACCTAATGTATATACACTAGCATATATCTACACTTCCTAGCTAGAATGAAAACCTAAATCTCCCCTTACAGTTCCCTTCATTCTCACGCCACTTTTCCCCTCCCTTTCCCCAACACTTGTCTTTCATTTCTTGTTCAAGAATCCAAGACCAATACTTCATCTTTATAACATTCAAAGCTAGGAGATGGTAAGATCTTGACTCCTACACCATTTTCGTTCTCTAATTCCTAACTCTTATGAATCTTCCTCTCTTTTCTATGTTGGGTTTTTGGGGGTTTAAGATGACCAAGTTGATGATGGCTTGATAGAGTGATCTTGGAGAAGCTTTGAGGTGTTTTGCTAGCTAAGAAGGTAACCTGATGTCCATGAAAACCTTTTTAACTCCATATTGTTTATTCTTGATACTCTTGATGAATGTGAGCATAATCTTGTGTTTATGCTTGTGTTTAGAGCTTGTATGATAGGTGTATACTTGTGTTGTTGTGCCATTTCTTCTATTTCAAGTCATATTTGTTGTTGGTATGAGTTTTGTTGAGTTTGGAGTTGAATTGCATATTCTGGCCATTTTTCCCGAGATCACTGCTTTGCTACAGGTTTTTGACCTAGCGGGGGTTTCCGGGGGGTACTGGCACACCCGCAAGGCCAGGAGAGGGCTTTCAACCGGTGTTGGAGGACCTGCGAAGCCACCTGTTTGTTCCCACGGGGGTGTTTGGCAAATCCCTCTGAACCCGCCCAAACCACCCTCTAGTACGGTGTTGTTTCGCTTCTTAAATTGTTTTGTTGCCTCCCGCGTATTCTTGAGTATTTGTTGCAACCAGTCGTTGAGCACCAATGGTTGATCGCATTCACATGACATGTGTCCGCACATAGGTCTCACTCGACGTCGCCTACCTGTTGTTGTGGAAGACATCGTTGGTTGAAACGAAGAGGTGGTAACACCTACTGTGGACGATGACGTCTAAACGACTTGCTGAGTAGGGGCACCATGGGTCACCGACGGTTGTGATGCAGAAGGGACGACCGACGATCCAAGGGACGTCGAGGGTTGGTGAAGCCGTGCCCTGGCCCAAGGCGTTGAGGTGGTCCTGGTGGAGTGTGTCTCAGAATACCCATTTGTCAAATTGGCAAATGGAAAAACATCCTCGTTGAAGCGAACATGCCTTGCTATATACACACGGCCGGAGGTTCTGTCGAGGTACCTGTAACCAACAGAGGAATCCGGGTATCCCAAAAAAACACACAACACAGAGCGATAGTCCATTTTGTGAGTATTATAGGGTTGGAGACACGGGAAACACTCACAGCCAAATACACGTAGCATTTTATAGTCAAGAAATTTATGAAATAGAAGAGTGTATGGACTGACATTTTGAGAAACTGATGACGGCATGCGATTAATTAAATGTACTACAGACTCAAAGGCATAGGCCTAATATTTCTGAGGGACCTAACCTTGGCCAACAACGTTAGCCCAGTTTCAACGACATTGCGGTGCATACGCTCCACACGCTCATTATGTTCGTGCATGTGGGGACAGGACTGTCTATGCAATATTCCTGCGGCGGTGAGGACCGTGTGAAATCTACGATATTCACCGCCCATATTGGACTGGATACACTTAATTCGACAACCGAATAATTTTTCAACAGTTGTACGAAAAATATTAAATATGGAGTATATATCTGTTTTTAGTTTCATCGGATAAAACCACATAAATCTAGAAAATCGTCAACAAACAGTACAAAATATTTGTGACCATCAACTGATGAAACCGGAGCTAGGCCCCATATGTGTGTGTGTGTGTGTGTGTGTGTGTGTGATGCAGAAGGGACGACCGGCGATGCAAACTGACTGACTAGAGCGTTCAACCCGTGAAAGCGGGAAGCGCGCCGACTTGTCCATTTGACAAGCAGTATAGAGATTATTTAACGAACGATACAACCCTTTTACATGACAACTAGATAAAACCTGGCACAGGACCCGAACATGTAGGTGGCCCAGGCGATTATGCCAAGTTTGCAGGTGGCCCAGGCGATTATGCAGGGTTCCGTTTCTTTTCACTAAATAAAACGACATCGTTTTGAAGCTCGGTGCATAATCGATTATGCACCGCGGTGCACGAAATAATTTGTTTTTATTTAGACTATCGCTTTTAATCAAATATTTAAACTATCGATTTTACAAAGTTGCAAACATTTATTTTAGTGACAATTATAATGAATTTTCTATTTTATCTTGCATTCATATACTTTGAGTTACATATTTAAATAAACAAATTCGACATTCAATTACCTATATATAAACTTCTCATATATAATCTTACATTGATATACTTTTAAATATTTATTTAATATAAACATTGGGTATTAATTCAATCGCACAATGTGCGTATAAAACTAGAGTGTAAGGTTCCCGTGCGATTGATTAATGTGCGTGAGGTTTGTACTCAATGTGCGTGAATATTGTGTTTAATGTGCCTGAGATTTGTACTTAATGTGCGTGGGTGTGTAATGTTAATGTGCGTGAGTTTTGTACTTACGGTGTGTGAGTCTTGTGCCTAAGATGCGTGAGTTGTGTGCTTAATGTGCGTGAGTGTGTTCTTCATCCACTGCTGTATTTTCTTCTTGTTTTTTGTTTTGAAGTGGTGGAGGAATGGATTTTGTCTTGTTTTTAACATAAAATCAGAACAGTCATATGTGCGTTTACATATACCCATCCATTCACACACAATCAGAAAAGCTTCACCCACCTTCTCTTTCTGTTCTGCTTCCTTCTGAGCTCGTAATTCTGAACTCAAGTCACGCACATTAAGGACAAACTTCACGCACATTAAGCACAATACTCAGACACATTAAGTACAAAACTCACGCACATTAACATTACACACTCACACACATTAAGTACAAATCTCAGACACATTAAACACGCGACTCACGCACATTAAGTATATAACTCACGCACATTAATCCACCGCACATCCGCACGGGAAGCAACAAATGCACGCGAATTTTTGTTTTGAAGTGGTGCATTTGTTGCTTCCCGTGCGGATGTGCGGTGGATTAATGTGCGTGAGGTTTATACTTAATGTGCGTGAGATTTGTACTCAATGTGCCTGAGATTTGTACTTAATGTGCCTCATGTTAATATGCGTGAGTTTTGTACTTAATGTGCCTGAATATTGTGTTTAATGTGCGTGAGATTTGTGCTTAATGTGCGTGCGTATTTCAGAATTACGAGCTCAGAAGGAAGCAGAACAGAAACTCACGCACATTAACACCCAAGCTTCTTGTTACTTCTTCCTTCAATTTGGCCATGGATTCTGAATTATCAGCTACCTTCAGTGCAGTTGTATGTTTATATAAATGACGCACGCACAGTAAAATTTGCACAGCAGCTAAGTGTGGATTTCTGTTGTATTATTCCCATAATTTTTAACCACCATAGCTCGCCTCCGCATCATCATCATCAGGGAGGGGGCAAATGGCTACTGGGGATGGGGAAGAAGCTTACATCAATATTTTCTGCTGCATTTTACACATTCACACACATTAAGTACAAATCTCAGGCACATTAAGTACAACACTCACGCACATTGAGTACAAATCTCACGCACATTAATCCATCGCACATCCGCACGGGAACCTTTCACTATATATATATATATATATATATATATATATATATATATATATATATATATATATATATATAAGTGGATCAGTTTCCGTGGCGTACAAGTTATGTTGTCAAGCTGCGTATATAACTCATGTGACATGCAGATGTGCTACATTGCCTGAATGCCGTCCAAGGAAAATTGTTCCACAAACCAAAGATTTGTCTCTTCATTTTTGTACTTTACTTTTTTCCTTTTTCCTTGGGTAAATTTTGGTCAAGCTTCATTTGTTGGAGAGAGATTTCATGCGTGATAATCATGGCATCCTTGAAAGAATCATATTGTTTAGATGATAAAAGGAAAACTCACAATCATTATTTGTATGTGTGCATGTATTAAGTAAACTTCACACATATTTAATTGTAAATAAATTATACATGAGATATAACTCATACTAAAAAGATTATGTGCGGCGGGCGTGTTTGACCAAAAGAATGTTGGTAATACTAGAATTATGTATTTTTTTTCTTAATTATTTTACATACCGAAAAGTAAAAATAATTGTTGTAGCCGGTTAGAACCATATCAAATTTTATTGTGCACTCTGGAGACCATCCCACAAGATAAACCTTGATACAGGTTTTTATTAATACTAGTGTTTTAAGCGTATTGCGTGAACGGATAATGCTCAATAATTATTTTTAAATAAGTACTTCAAAATATATCAA